AAGAACTCCATTTCATATATATATACATTGCGACTACCCCCTACGTTTAAGGGATCAGAAATCCGAATGCATCGAAAAAAGGGTATTTTTATTCAGAGAAAATACGTTTTTGTGTCTGAATTCGAAACTTATCGAAACTTATTACCCGGAAACACCCTCACAACCCATTGAGATGAAGTCCTAGAATGTGAAGATCCGATCATGGTCGGTTTTTTTTTTGACGCTCTGCACAATTCTATTTTAAGGGATGATAATATAAAACTTCGATTTTTCTCGATTCTCAAATGTATTTTTAAATAATAGTTAAAGAAATTTTAATGTATTGGTTTTTCAAACTTTTTATTCTTAGATATTTTTAATATTTACTTTAAGTAAAAGCTAGGAAATTCTTCTTATATTAATTATGTTTCATTTTAAATTTCAAAAATATAGTTGTGATTGGAAAGGAATGCAAAATCTAATATCATCCTAATTTTCACAAAATATATTTTTAATAAAAAAAATAGTACAGATGCATTTAGTCTAGGCTTGAAATTAGTGATATGATCGCTTTACCCACAGTGGCCAAAACGTAAAAAAGTTTTAGGGATGTTGTTCGCTTTTAAATATTACCCGGAATATTATGAGAAAATCAAATCTATAATACTGTACTTTATTTATTATTTAACAGAGTATTTCCCTAATACAAAATTCTCTTAAAGTAAAAAGAATAACTTTTGAAGTATGCGCAATAATTCGCCTCTCTTTTTAATATTTTTATACATTTAGTGCAATTCGTTCTTCCAAGTCCTAAGCTAATTTTTTAAAAGTAATTTGATAGTCAAATAAAATAGTTTAGAACACATTCTATTGAAACATACAGGAAATTCGTAAGATAGATTTAAAAAAATCAAAAATGAAGAAAAGGATATTGCTTATACGCAATATATTGAATCTATTTATTCAATATATTGAAATGAAACTAATTGCTTAAAAATTATAAGAATATTGAGTATTCTATCAAATTATATCAAGAAATTTATACGTAGAACAAATCAGAACATAAATTTTAAGTTCCAAACAAGTTGTAAGTTGTTTAATGTTGTAAGATAAAAAATAAGTTAAATCAATGCGAAAAACTTTCGACAGTTACAAAACGTAAGCACTGTAATATGTTTAAAAGTTATTACAATTTATTAATAGAAAATGATTGTAATTTTAAAAAAAAATATATGAAATGTTGAAATCATTATGCTCGAAATAATTAAAACAAAAAATAATTAAAGAGTTTTTAAGATACCACTTTTATGAAAGTGCTAAACTTAGAACTATTTCGTTAAACTATTGATAAAATATCGAAAATTATTAATTTTGAACTTAACTTACATACTTCTCATTTTTAACAAACTTAAAAAATTTATATTTCTATCTGTAAAAATTCCTTTTTAAGAACAATAATAATTCTTATGTCCGCATTTAAATTTTATAAATTGACATTATATTGTAGCAATCATGAATTCGGAAAATAAATAGATAATAATTTTTAAATGTGTTAAGATAATAATTTGTAAGAAATCGCAGTATAATTCTTTTCACCAACATGTTCACCGCCATTGAATTTTACAGATCTAATTTAGAATTCGTATTTAGTAACCCTCCAAACCCAGGATCTGATTAAAAGAGGCGAACTAAGGAGCCCTAACATTTTCTATAACAGTAACATTCATATCATTTTCATTTTAATAAAAAATTTCGCGAGATTTCCTTGGTGGCTCAGAGGATAGAGAGCTCGTCTTCCAACGAGATGACCTGGGCGAAAATGTCGACGAAGCGAAAATGTCGACGAAATGACCCTGTCGTCGAAATGATCCTGTCGACAGGGCCGGATTACCCATTAGGCCAGACTAGGCCATGGCCTAGGGCCCCCAATGATTCCCCTTAATAAAAATTTTATGAAAATAAATTTAAAAAAATTAAGAAAAACAATGATTTAATTGTTTTTTTTTTTTAAGATTTAAAAAAAAAAATCAATTTCAAATATATATTAATAAAATACGATAATTTTTTTAGTTCTAATTTAATAAAATAAAGTAAAATTTAATTTATTGTTATTTATTTTTATTTTAAATACGCTTTCTTACATGAAAAGACGTATAAATACTTTTATATTTGAATAAATTAAAAAATATACGAGAAAAAATTTTTTAATCTAAGGGCCCCGAAAATTTGAATGGCCTAGGGCCCCGCGTGCGCCTAATCCGGCCCTGCCTGTCGACGAAATTTCTTGTCGATGAAATAACCTTGATAACGTTGACGAAATGACCTAGTCCAGGGGTGGCGAACCTTTATACACCAACGTGCCATTTTTTCTAAAAAATTGCTTAATGAGGTCATAGACGTGCCGTCAAATAATTCTGACTTCGTGATTATTGGGAAAATAATAATACTAAATACTATTAACTCAAAACTCTTTATTTACATTGAAAAAAGAAAAAAAAAACATTTTGCAATGTCTCAGTTATACACGTAATTCAACTTAAAGTAATATCAGTGTGACTTCTGTTGTTGCAGATTAGATGACCAATAACTTATATTAGGTTGTATGATGTTAGTTTAAGCAGGACTGTTGATTTTTTTTGCTAGTTATTTACTGTTAGCTTGTTTTTTACGGTTATTAATAATTTTTTTAGTATTAATTTTTAATTTTTTTATTAATAATTGTTTATTATTTTGTTTGTTTTTGTGAATTTTAATTTAATTGTTACATATGCTTCATAGTGTCATAACATTTGTGTAATAACAATTCATAGTGTAACAACAATTGTGATCGGTGGAGTGCCCAAAATATTGTGTCGCGTGCCATTGGTTCGCCATCCCTGACCTAGTCAATGAAATGATTTGTTGATGAAGTGGTGCCAATGAAACGGCCTATCGTTGAATTGAACGCGACCCAAAATTAGACATTGAATAAGCATTGTAGCCGAGCTACTTTTTTACAGTATAAAAATTGAGATTTTTGAGTAAGACATAGAATGTTGCTAAAGTTTCACTAATCAGTCAGGCACAATTTCAAATTTTTTTCCGATTCAGACTTCTGCGTTGTAGGAAAAGTAAGGTTATATAGATAATTTTATAGTCTTCAAGTTAAGAATAAATAAAAAAAAAATTCTAAAAATGAAATTTTCTTTTCTAGAAAGGCATATTTTAGATAAAAATAAAATTAGCATAGAAGGGACATTTGATAGGAATATTACATTGTACGTAACTGAAAGTCTAGGGGGGGGACAACACTCATAAATAAAAAGTTATCTGAATATATTAATTTTTTGTCAACAGTATAGTAAGGTAAGGTTAGCAGAAATGTCGAGTTGGAGGTCGAAATGTTTGACTCCGACTTTAATTAAAATGTCCACAAAATCGCAGTAAAGCGCTAATATAAGAATATTAATATATTATTAAGTAATTGTTAATTTTAAATTATATATTTTCCTTTTTCATCTACAATTAAAGTAATAGGTACTTAATTTAAAATTACATTTCGCATGATAACATAACAGTTGAAGAAATAAATCTTATAAACTATAATTGAGTAAAATATTGAAATTGTGCAAAAGGAAGAACTCCATTTCATTATCTTAAACACACAGTCGCACATATATATAAATATCCTACGAAAAAAAAAACGTCAAATAAATATTTAATGAACTAGGTAACTGGTGTAATTGATACATTAAATTCATTTGCATATTTTTTTAAATTAATGTAATACCTTAACTAAATAAATTTTCAATGGTTTTGTGCATGATTTTTACTGTGTTATTTTTTTCCGTGTGCTTAGTCAAACAAAGGTTCATTGCTATCAAATGTGATTAATAAATATTGATATGTGTTTCGAAATGTTTATAAAAAATTTTATCAAATTCTTTTGTTATTTTTTACACCATATAATTGGTTTTAATTGATATTATATTTAAAGTCATATTTTCCGAAAATATTCATAAATGTCTAGAAATATTTATAGTCAAGTTTTCAGAAACATCTTCTAGCTTAAAAGTAAGTCATGTCCCGATCATAGCGCTAAAATAAGGGGAA